TTGTCTCCAAACAGTTAAAAAAAGGAAAACATGAACTCTTTTTTCTTTTTACCAAAAAAAAGGTCCTACCGAGATTTGAACTCAGATTGCTGGATTCAGAGTCCAGCGTGCTAACCATTACACCATAGAACCTGATAAGTCTTAACACAGTACTAAGTTCTTTGTCTATCTACAACCAGTTAAAACAAGGAAAACATGAAATCTTTTTTTATTTTTACCAAAACAAAGGTCCTACCGAGATTTAACCTCTTAAGCCCGAGAGTCCCCGGTACCGGGGACTTGCACCCTTGTGCGTTACATTTTCACTCATAGCTCACTAACCCTGAGAATAACCCACACATATTAAATACTGTTGTGTTCAGCGGAAACTCCTCTAAAACGTATCTAATTCAATTTCATATTCGTGAACCACAGCTCGAACGCCATGCAAATAAACAACAACATGTCCGGAGTATAATTCATGACCACGTTTTTGTTTATGTGCGATATGTATCCACAATATAAACGGAAACACCCAAACCATTACATTAAATGAAAGCTAACAACCAGCTGAATCCAGTGATATGCAACTCATTAACATTGCATGAAGTATTTCAGAGCAGGGAGCGAAAGTTCCCCGAGAAAACGCCAGCGAAAACCAAGCAAGCATGTAAATCTTGTCTTACCTTTGCCGTTTTTTCAACAAAAGTTATTTCCATAGCGATAAAAGTCAGTTTGTTGTTATGTCCGGTCAATAGCTTCGTGCAAACGCCATTTTGGATTGTTTCTTTAGCTTTGTGGCGTCATTATGTCACCAAATATGGAATGACTCCCCGTGCGTAAGAGCACGTCTCTCCACGCTGCGCGTCGTGTGATTCGTCGGCGATCCCGTCAGTCTTAAAATGGTTGAGCTGATTGGTTTCCATAGAATCAGAGCTTTCCAGCGATATATAGATCTCCCGGATTGGACAGATGGTCGGGGGGTAGGACACGCAGAAGCTCGACGTCGAAAGCGTTTGTGAATGAAAGGTTCCCAAAAGCGCAGCAAGATGGCTTAAATGAGCTTCTACCCCCCTTTTACAGTGTTTCTTTAGGAGTTTTTTTTGCTGAAATCATGTCCCATAAGCAACAAAAGAAGACTATTAACGTAGCTGAAGCTTTGGACAAGATTTTTTCCATATTTCAATTATTGTGCCAAACTGTGCCAACATGGATTACGCCTGAACTTTGTTCAATCAAAACCTTTACAGAATATTAGTTTCTTGTAGTATGAACACCAAACTTGCTACAGATGTTCTTGACATGTAGTGGTTACAATTGATTGTGTTTATTTGCTTCGTTATAAGTAAAATAAGGAGATATTGGAGGAAACATGTGGTTTTTTTTAGGCGGAGTTCATTTTTTGGCCATTCCAACATCAATTACTCTTACCCTGTGTTCTTGACTGTCAAATTAACTCATCCACACCACTCCCCAAGAACCTATCTTCATTTTGATACCAAGATTTGCAGTTTAGGCCTTGTAAAAAGCTGAGAAATGCCTTAAAAAGTAAAAGTATAGGATTTTCGGAAAATAGGCCTCAGGGCTTAAGAGGTTAAAATTGGATCACTGGATTGCTAGAGTGCTAACCATTACACCATACAACCAGACAACTCTTACTTCGGTTAATAAGTATTTTGTCTATCTAAAATAAGTTTTAACAGGCAAAACAATAAACCTCTTTTTTGGTTAGCAGAAAAAAAAGGTCCTACCGAGATTTGAACTCAGATTGCTGGATTCAGAGTACAGAGTGCTAACCATTACACCATACAACCAGACAACTCTTACTTAGATTAATAAGTATTTTGTCTATCTAAAATGAGTTTTAACCGGCAAAACAATAAACCTCTTTAATGGTTAGCAGAAAAAAAAGGTCCTACCGAGATTTGAACTCGGATCGCTGGATTCAGAGTCCAGAGTGCTAACCATTACACCATAGAACCTTACAAAATCTTGACACATTTACTAAGTTCTTTGTCTATCTACAAACAGTTAAAACAAGAAAACATGAAATCTTTTTAAATTTTACCAAAACAAAGGTCCTACTAAAATTTGAACTCAGATCACTGGATTCAGAGTCCAGAGTGCTAACTTTTACACCATATAACCAGATAAATCTTGGCACAGTTACTAAGTTTTTTGTCTCTAAACAGTTAAAACAACGAAAACATGAAATCTTTTTTTATTTTTACAAAAACAAAGGTCCTAACGAGATTTGAACTTGGATCACTGGATTCAGAGTCCAGAGTGCTAACCATTACACCATAGAACCTGATAAGTCTTAGCACAGTTACTAAGTTCTTTGTCTATCTAAAACCAGTTGAAAAGGGGAAAACATGAAATCTTTTTTATTTTTACCAACATAAAGGTCCTACCGAGATTTTAACTCAGATCACTGGATTCAGAGTACAGAGTGCTAACCATTACACCACGCAACCAGACAACTCTTACTTTAGTTAATAAGTGTTTTGTCTATCTAAAATCAGTTTTAACCGGTAAACCAATAAACCTCTTTAATGGTTAGCAGAAAGAAAAGGTCATAACGAGATTTGAACTCGAATCGCTGGATTCAAAGTGCAGAGTGCTAACCATTACACAATAGAACTACATGTTTCTTATCTGAGATACTAAGTTTTTTGTCTATCTCTAACAAGTTGAAACAAGGAAAACATGAAATATTTGTTTTTTTTTAACAAAAAAAATGGTCCTACCGAGATTTGAACTCAGATCGCTGGATTCAAAGTCCAGAGTGCTAACCATTACAAAATATAACCTGATAAATCCTAGCACATTTACTAAGTTCTTTGTCTATCAACAGTTAAAACAAGGAAAACATGAAATCTTTTTTTATTTTTACCAAAATAAATGTCCTACCGAGATTTGAACTCAGATCGCTGGATTCAGAGTCCAGCGTGCTAACCATTACACCATAGAACCTGATAAATCTTCACACAGTTACTAAGTTGTTTGTCTATCTCAAACCAGTGGAAAAGGGTAAAACATTAAATCTTTTTTATTTTTACCAAAACAAAGGTCCTACTAAAATTTGAACTCAGAACACTGGATTCAGAGTCCAGAGTGCTAACCTTTACACCATAAAACCAGATAATTTTGGCACAGTTACTAAGTTTTTTGTCTCTAAACAGTTAAAACAAGGAAAACATGAAATCTTTTTTATTTTTACCAAAACAAAGGTCCTAACGAGATTTGAACTTGGATCACTGGATTCAGAGTCCAGAGTGCTAACCATTACACCATGGAACCTGATAAATCTTAGCACAGTTACTAAGTTCTTTGTCTATCTACAAACAGTTAAAACAAGGAAAACATGAAATCTTTTTTTATTTTTACCAAAACAAAGGTCCTACCGAGATTTAAAATTGGATCACTGGATTGCTAGAGTGCTAACCATTACACCATACAACCAGACAACTCTTACTTCGGTTAATAAGTATTTTGTCTATCTAAAATAAGTTTTAACCGGCAAAACAATAAACCTCTTTTTTGGTTAGCAGAAAAAAAAGGTCCTACCGAGATTTGAACTCAGATCGCTGGATTCAGAGTACAGAGTGCTAACCATTACACAATAGAACCACATGTTTCTTATCTGAGATACTAAGATCTTTGTCTATCTCAAACCAGTTGAAACATGGAAAACATGATTTTTTTTTTTTTTTTAAACGGTCCTACCGAGATTTGAACTCGAATCCATGGATTCAGAATCCAGAGAGCTAACGCTTACACCATAGTACCTGCAAAATTTTAGCTTTTAGATTTGAACTCTTTTTTATTTTTACCAAAACAAAGGTCTTACTGATATTTGAACTCGGATCACTTAATATAGAATCCAGAGGGCTAACCATTACATCATAGAACCTGACAAATCTTGGCACAGTTACTAAGTTTTTTTGTCTCCAAACAGTTAAAAAAAGGAAAACATGAACTCTTTTTTCTTTTTACCAAAATAAAGGTCCTACCAAGATTTGAACTCAGATTGCTGATTGTATTTTAGTTAATAAGTATTTTGTCTATCTAAAATCAGTTTTAACCGGCAAAACAATAAACCTCTTTAATGGTTAGCAGAAAAAAAAGTCCTACCGAGATTTGAACTCGGACCGCTGCATTCAAAGTCCAGAGTGCTAACCATTACACCATAGAACCACACACTTAATAGTTGAGATAATAAGTCCTATGTCTATCTTCAACCAGTTTTCACCAGCAAAACACAATTTTTTTTATTGTTAGCAGAAAAAAAGGTCCTACCGAGATTTGAACTCGGATCGCTGGATTCAGAGTCCAGAGTGCTAACCATTACACCAT